ATACAGTGTCCATCCACCCTAGCGGAGGAGAAGCAATACAATCCCTTCCTACGGAGCCACTCCCAGGATCTCCACCGGGCCCTGGGTCTGCAGCAGAAGCAGGACGAGGACTGGACGTCATATCGCGCCCGTGTTCTAGAGGAACTGCGTAGACGGAAGGACATTTATAAGGACCGATAAGGCTTTCGTCCACTGACGTTTGAAAGACGCAACCACTGAAACCATTCCAAGCTAAACATGTACTGTGTGTATTATTACTGTGCTGGATTAAAAAAGCACTAATGTGAATTTGAACAGTGCCCTGAAAGAACACATTTAAGTAGACCTGGGCATTATTTTTTATACAAAAACAATTTATTTGATTTATTTGAACTTTACGAATGTGGTAGACTTTGAAAGGCATTGTCTGAACTTTTCTTTCCCTTTTTTTCTTTTTTTTTTTTGGGCATTATTTTGTATACAAAAACAATTTATTTGATTTATTTGAACTTTACGAATGTGGTAGACTTTGAAAGGCATTGTCTGAACTTTTCTTTCCCTTTTTTGTTTTTTTTAAAACAAGCTTTCCTGGCATGCTAAAAAGCAGGTGTTTTTCCTCACCCTTGACTCTGTGTTTTGGAGATGCAGTGCAGTGAATCCCATTTACAATGACGTTTAATCCGTTTTGAATACTTAGGGTACAATAAGCACTGATATTTATGAACGGTTTGTCATAATAAACCTATGAATTATAAACAAATATGTGTCTGTATTGAATACCTGTGAAAAGTTTTGCGCGACTACTAGAAGGTTTACGGTAGATGTTGACAACAGCGTTACTAAGGAAACCAGAGATGCTAATAAGTTTGAGACGTGAACAAAAAACACATCTAGACCGTATAAAAAACGAGTTAAAGGCTTAATGTAGACGCTGTTAGTAGTTTGTACTATCTCCTGTGATATTTAAGTAATTTTAAAGTAAGTCTGTTGATTGTTTATTTAGATATTTTTAAAAGCATTAGCAAAGTAGCTCATGTTTGTTTGACATCTGCTGAAGACTGAACGGTTGAAACTCGGTATACAATCCAGCTAACTTAAAAAGAAAAAAAGACGCGCATAGTATAAATCTTCAACTGCTACGATCTCAAAGATCCATGCAATATAAATATATATGCAATGTTTTGAACTATTGTTGTAATTGTCTCTTGTTTTGTCTGGACTTTCTAAGACACACATGGAGGACATTGAGTCAACACAGAATGAAACCGAAGAATTAAAAGCGTCGGTTAATGCAGTGGAGTTTATTTACAGCATTGGTAAGTCATTAAACATGATTATGATTTAGTAAGTGGCGTCAGTTCTAAAGCTTGCCTGTCAAAGATGCTATTTTAGGGTCAGGGACCATCTGTTAATGGCATCCAATGTGTACACTGTAATTACCCTCACATTCATTAAGTTGCATTGTACTATTATTTTGTTTCTATTTAATATGTAATTGGAACAGCTGATTTTCCATGATAACTTATTTGTGATAAAGCACTGACAACTACATAAATGTGCCTTTACATTAAATGTGCTGAATGTTTTTTCAGAAGCCCTTTCAGATCCTTAAAGCGGTAATCACCGTAAATGAATCCTCAGTCAAGACTAACAATATATGATACCAATTAGGACTTTACTCGTCTGCTGTCATTTGCAGCACCCAAGGATTTGGACCAGTGTTTGTTCGCAGATTCACTTGTGACTGTGTCAGATTCGGGCCGGGAGCTGGGAGACTTCTCTGTGAGTGTCACCAAGGCGAGCTACAATGAGGAGCTATGTTATCTGCTCCATGCCAACAGTCATGGAACGATTGATGACATTCCTTGTGGTACATCCATTATAGGTCAGCTTACATTATATAATGACTATTTCCTTCTCTTTATAATTTGCTGGTTAGAACACAAATGACATCTGTGTCATCTCAGTCATTTCTTAAAGAATGTTAAACCCTGTATTTGTTCCTTTGTGATTTTACCAGCCTACATATCGAGAAATCTTGAGATACTGGAAGAGAATCATCATGAATTTGTAAAGGTATCTTTTCTATTGACATAAAGCATAGGGTAGGTTCCATTTATATCAATACTTGTAAACCATCAGATTCTGTTTAATACTATAGAAATAATGAATGTCATAATCAAAATTGCAATGTAAAGCCACCCAAATCTGAGGTGCTGTAAATATTCCAGTTAGAAAAGCAGACTGTGGACCGGAAAGTACGTATTGTTAAACAGGATGATCAGCTAGTGGTAAACCGAATCATCTCAGAGAAAGAGGTAAGTGTTGAATAAATTTATTACCATTTGTGCCTAAAAATGAAATGCACATTAATGCATACATTAGTGTCTGACCATGTATTCCACATTAATTGAAATTCAGGTCATTAATTATTAATAAAATAAAATGCATAATAATTTATTATTATTGAACACTTTACTGACAGTTTGTGTCAATAATGAGAAAGTCACATCTTTCATTATTTAGGGAGTGAAGACACAAACCCACACATTTCCACTGAGTTCTCTAAAGGGGTTTGTGTCTGAAGCATCCAACTTAATGATTCTGCGTATACTGGCTCGGCAGAAGACTGTTCCAGAAAACATGACATTCCAGTCATTTGATGCAGATACTGTGCTTTCCAAGTCAGTTTATGTAAGTGCAAGGGGATAATTGCTTATATTTCAGCCCTTGGATGTTATTTAAAAATCGATGTGAACAGTAGATGCTTTTTATTGTTCTTTCATGTGACTGATGCACTTGTTTGTTTTAGAGAGCACTTGGGTGCAAGAAGCAGATGATTGGGGAAGAGTTAGTCGATATCTTTGGGATTGAAAGGACTGTCTCTTCTGCAAAGGACTCTTCAGGAACTTGGCATTGCTATTTCTTGCCTGATGGGTAGAATACTCTCTTCATTTTTTTGCTAGAAGGCAAAACTTATCTTATCTGTTTCTCATAACAGTGTGTCTACACTGGAAGCGAGTGGCTTCACGGAAGTGACAAATCTCAAGACAGTATAATAATGACTCATTGTTTTTATAACATACTGACACAAAGGTCAAATGTTTCACAGTGTCGCTTTGTTGCTTCCAGTGAAGACAACCTCTAGCTGTTGCAATGCAAGTGACAATGGTCACGTCTGGTGTAGACACTGTGTAAATATGGACGGTAGATTGATGGTAGATTGATTAACGTCTTTCAAACATATAACATGATGCTTCATTGCTTTATAACAGAAAATTATAAAGCATATCTTTGCCATCTCAAAGAGGCACAAAATCACTTTCACAGACTTTTTCATTAACTGTTCCCTCCTGGTGGAATGACCTGCCCAAATCAATCCGAGCAGCTGAGTCCTTAACCATCTTCAAGAAACGACTAAAAACACATCTGTTCCACCTTTATTTGACCCTCTAACTCTAACACTTTCTATTCTATTTTAATTCTACTTTATCTATATTTATCTTTTTTTTTTTAAACAACAAAAAACAAACAAACACTAGCTTTCTATTTTTTCTGTTTTATCTACTTGTTTATCTTTGTGTGTGTGTGTGTGTGTATAATATATATATATATATATATATATACACCTTATACATGTACTGCGTTAGGCTAACCGAGACTTGTCATTTGCACTTATATATTGTTGCTCTTTTGTTAGTTTTGACTGCTTTTATTGTCCTCATTTGTAAGTCGCTTTGGATAAAAGCGTCTGCTAAATGACTAAATGTAAATAACAAACACCTATACGAAAAAATGTATGTATATTCAGAGTTTTGAACATGAACTTTTCCTAAAATATTTTACACTTAGGCATCTAGCAAGCAGAGTGCAGTTGGGCTCACCTGCAATTATGAAGCTCCTGCATTTGCCTTTCCTGCTTGATGGAGGTTTGATGACTTTATCACTTTGCATCCCGCTCCTTTGTGACTGGAATCAATCTTTACAGTCAAAAATAAAGTAAAAGTAAAAAGTTTTTGCTTTTATTTTCAGTGGAGAAAGACCAGATTCCTGTGTTTGAGAAGAAGCCACTCATTTGGGAGGAAGACATGGAGCTTTACTCAAAGTTTCTTGACAGAAAGGTGTCTATTACTTTTAATGAGCTTTTAATTTATGTCATATATTACTCAAGGATATTGGAAAATATATTGATCATATTAAAAACTCAAGACTCAATCATTTCTACATGGAACTAATTTTTTTGAATTTTTATGAATTTCAAACAAAGAACCACATAAGATAAAGGTCACTCGACAAATAAGCAAATTTGTGACTCATTTCCACTCGTTCATGACACAGGAGGAACTCAAAGCAGACTACTCCTCCTACGTCAGACAACACCCTGAGCTAAAGGCTTTATTGGCAGACTTCCTGCAATTCCTGCTGTTGAGGAAACCTCAAGATGTCTTCTCCTTTGCTCATGACTTCTTTGCACCCTTTGCATCTCAAAGTCCTCCAGGAAAGTCCCATAAAGACTCACAAAACTTTCCATAGGAATACCAAACACTAACCAAGTGTCTGATGTAGCAGAGATTGAAAATAAAAGTTTTCTTCTAATAGTGCCTTGGTATAATGACTTTATGCTCTGTTTTTGTATGTACTGTAAGATTATTTGGTTCGTCTGGATGACCAGCTGTTTATTTGAGAGACAGCAATTTATAAACCTTTGCAGGGATAAAGAAATATTGCACAGAATATTTGTCCATATAAATTCCAATACCTAAAACCAAGTCAAAATAAGTATTACAGCCTTGACTTTTTATATAACATTTGTGATTTTATTTTAGAAAATGTTTTTTTTGTGTGTGTCTGAAGCACTGTTCATAACGATACACATAAAATATAGCCTACTTAAAAATATACACTCTTATTTATGTTTTTCTTAAAGCCAAACTGTTTCTTCAAGATAACTCGAGGGTAACCCCCACAATTATTATTTATAACACATTTGTGAACACGTCCTCATGTCACTTCCTGTTGAAATTGAAAGGCTTGAGAGGCTGAAACTGAAAGTAAAGCATTGGAAACGTAGTAGCTTTAGCATGTCGCTCAGACTCTCTTGATTTGGGTTCTACGACAGTTTGCCATTTTATTTCAGTTGGCTGTTGTAAATATAAAAGGTAAGATGAGTTTTGATCATTTAAGTTGATTGTTCGAGTTAACTTTCGGAATAAGAATATTATTTAGTTAAAGTTCGGTTAAAAGTTTGTCATCGCGGATACATTGTAGCATTTGACTCGCTGAACAAAAATGTACTTGACACCAAACTTTTTAAAGCAATGACAGTCTTGAAGTGTGATTTGATACACATCTAAAATATTTAGTATACTTGTATCCATTTTATACATTCCGTGTAATGACACAAGTGGCTAGAATAGTAGTTTTAAAAAAAACTATCGAGTTTAAAATACGTGAATAAATATGTTAAACCGGGCCTAGTTGTTACATGGAAAGGTTGTCACAAGGCTATATATCAAAAACTGTGTTTTTGAATCAAAACTGTTTGAATTCGTGGTTTTGTATGCTGAGTTCAATTCTTATTAAATGCTAGTTGTGATTTCTGTCGTAAACTACAATTCCAAAGTAATCGTGTTTTGAATTATTTGTCAACAATAAATACACTCTAGAAATATATCGTGAACGTTCTTAACGCCATGTTCTCAGGACAAGGATATTTTTCGTATTGGGTTGGGCAAGTAGTAACATGTTTTACTGAACTTATGGTTACTAGACAGTTGCCAAAGTAATGGCTTTCTCTAGTTGTTTAAGTTGTTTTCAGTGAGTGTTTGTTTAACATTGTTACAGAATATGGATCTTCAGAAGTTTCACAAGATTGATGAGAACCTGACAAGTAGTGAAGTGGCCCAGCTGAAGTTTCTCTGTATGGACCTAATTCCCAAGAAACGTTTGGAGACTGTGACTGATGCCAAAGAACTGTTCCTACGACTGGACGAGCAAGCACTGCTTGATGACGGGTTACTCGTCCCCGAGCTTCTGCTCACAATTGGACGCCGTGACTTGCTTGGCATCCTGAAAATGTCCAAAGATAATGTGGAAAGAAATCTGCTACTACGTGACACATCTAGCAAAGGTGTCTCAGCCTACAGGTATGAAGAAAACACACGATAAATGTAGCCCCTTTTAAGCTGATAGAGCACACACTGACGTGCTAGAAGTAGTTGCCAACGCTATCAATATCACATCGTTTTCTTAGAAAAGGTTCCTTGTATTGTACTTACTGTACTGTTAATATTTTATATCACAATGCTTGTGACATAATGACTCTCTTCTCATCACAGAAAAATGCTATTTAGTATATCTGAGGACATGACAGAAGAAAACCTTCACTCAGTGAAGTTTCTTGTGGAACTTCCCAGGGCAAAACTAGGAACGTCTGCTGTGAGTTATATATTTTAAGCCCTGAAGTAATAATTTTAGTGCAGATTACATACAAATAATAAATTATTGTGAAAGTGGAATATGTAGTTGCTACCTTGACTGCACTGACTAGCTTTGTAAATTGTATTATTTAATTAAGAATGTGACTATTATGGTTTGCACTTTAACCTGTTACTACAAAACCTATTTTATGTGAATCATACAGACATTTCTAGATGTTATGATTGAGATGGAAAAGCTACAGAAGCTTGGGGAAGACAACCTGGATGAACTTTACTGTATTCTAGACAAATGTGACAAACAGCTGGCCTGCAGAATAGAGGAGTACAGGGCCCGGGAACAAGGTTACTGATAAAATCAAATCAGTTATCTAATACTTAAGTATCTACTTTTCTCATTTCTCCAAACATAAACAACAGTTTTTATTTTATTTTATTTTGTCCAGTAGGAGGCAGACTTCCTCTACGGGAAGTGTTTGGTAATGTGCCAGTTTCCTTTCCTGATGAAAGTATGCCCAGATATGTAAGTATGCCAAATACATTAAGATGCATTTGAACACATAATTTTCACATAGTATAACCCAAATATTTCTTATGATGTGGATTTATGCGTAATTTTAGAAAAAAATGTGAAAACTTACTTAAAGGGATAGTTCACCCCAAAATGAAAAGCTGCTGTTAATTTACTCGCCCTCAGGCCATCCAAGATAGGTGAGCTTTTTTGTTTGTTTTGTTTTTTTCAGTAGAACAGTAAAAAAGATTTTTAGCTGAGACCATGGTCTTCAGTGATTCATAAAATGCAAGTCAGTGGTTCCTGTCAATTTGACTGTCAAAAAAAGCATATCAGGGAACTCAAAATGAATACCTGTGGCTCCTGGCGGTCTGTGTAAGAAACTGAACATTATTTACAATATAATGTCAATGTAAATGGATCACGGTTTCGGCTACAAATCTTCTTTACTGTTCTACTGATGAAAAAAAGTCACCTACATCTTGGATGGCCTGAGGGTGAATAAATTAACAGCACATTTTAATTTATGGGTGAACCATTTCTTTAAAAATGTCTATTTTTATCTGTGTTCCATATTCAAGTGACCCAACAGAGTACCAAATTACAATTTTTGTTGTAACATACAAAACCCCCAAAAATGTAATTTATGTCAAATATTAAATGTATTAATTATTTTATTATTGGTTTCTAAATGTTTTTAATTGGTTTGATTCTCCTCAGAAAATAGTGTTTATCCATTACACATTTTTAATGTAGTCTGGGTCACATTTTCTTTTGCCTAGTTTCGTTCATGATTTTTAAGCATGAGGCCATGTACCTATTGGCATTGTCCTAATTTGGCTGCTTCAACCAAGTAGCAGGTGAATTTGAGCCAAATTTCCACAGTATTTGACTGGACACACAGCCGGGAAGCGTTGTTTCCACTCCTTTAAATGTATAAACCTGTTAATCTTGTTGTCCCAACTAAATATACTTGCATTTTATTAATTGCATTTACCATTGTTTTTCCCCTGCTGGGATTTTTTTGTGGTCACAACACACTAGTTGAGAATCACAGCTTATACTTGGCATTTTTAATGCAATTAAAATTTGTAATGCAATGTTTTCATGTAAATGAGCATTTTCAAAAAGAAAGGCCTTTAAAATACCAGTTCTGCTTGTTTATAATAGTTGTAGTCACATTTCAACACACAATCCAGTATTTTTGTGGTGACAGATACATTTTAAATGATAAAATATACTGCAATTCAATGCAAAATAACCTCTGTTGTTTCTCTTCCCTCCACATTTTGGCTTTATCACAGCAAATGGAGACAGAAAATGGATGTAAGTTATACTCCCATACAAACTTTCAAAACATTACTGAACGATAATGCTCTTTGCTTATATCTCTATATCTCTCACCATATGTTTTTCCTTAGGGAGGAGAAGCTCGCTTGTTACCGATTCAGACACTGAACCCAGAGTAAATAAGACACATTACATTTCATTCTTAATATTGTTACATCATAGTTGAATGTTCTAAATAACTGTTTGAAGCACCACTACTTTTGGTGGTTTTTATAGTTTCTATAGAAGTTACAAACAATAGCGTAAACTCTAATCAACAAACAGCTGTTTTTAATTTTCATAACATCACTGCTGTGACAAACATGATTTATTAATGATCTTCAATCAATGAGATGTGTACGTGTGTACTTACTGGCTGTTTGTGAAGTGTTATGTAAATAAAAAATGTAATTTCAACGTGATTTGCTTTGCATTCATGTAGATGGGGGAATATTATAATATGACTCCGCGACCTCTTGGATACTGTCTAATCATCAACAACTTCAACTTTAAAGAAAGGTCCTCATTGTCCAATCGGACAGGAACGGATAAGGACAAAGGTATTTCCAGCAAATGCATTTGCATCTTATCTGTAATCCTTAAAAATGTGTTTCTAAATTAACACACACTCTCTCTGTGTTTCTATAGATGACCTTAGCAGAGTGTTTCGCAGAATGCATTTTGAGGTTGAGGTTCAGAATGATCTGACAGCTTCATATATGAAGGATGTGATAAGGCACTTTGCAAACAGGGATCATACTCATATGGGAGCTTTTGTCTGCTGTGTCCTCTCGCATGGAGAGAAGGGCACAGTGTTGGGGGTAGATGGTAAAGAGGTTGAAATCCGTGAACTCACAGTGCCTATTGCTGAATGCCGTACACTAGCATCCAAGCCCAAGCTTTTCTTCATTCAAGCCTGCCAAGGAAATGAGGGTCAGGATGGTGTATGGACAATGGATGCACCGGGAAACGCTACAGAAGAAGACCCATATGAGGAAGATGCTTATAATCCTGCAGCCCGCTCTATTCCTATAGAATCTGATATGCTAATTGGAATGGCCACAGTAGAGCACTACCAGTCCTACCGCCACACTAAAAACGGGTCTATCTATATCCAGGAGCTCTGTAATCAGTTGGAGAAATTCTGCCCCAGGTGAGTTCAAGAGGAGACTCTGTCATGTCTTGAATGAACGATGCATGTGGGCGGGTTTGTAGAAATTCATGTTCCAGTTCCATATGATGATTGCACATGACCATGTGATGCGGTAAGGATGGGTGAGTTTACTTTGCAGTTAACCGTTAGTTTCCACCAGTCAACCCATTGACCAGTTTGACCCATGTGTGCAGAATTTATTTTATACTACCATTTAAAAGTTTGGGGTCAGTTTTTTTTTTTTTTTTTTTTGATGGTTTGATTAGGTGGGTCCATAGAGTTATTTTCTTGTCTGCTTTTTTGACAGAAAAGAGGATATCTTATCCATCCTGACAAAAGTAAACCGTGAAGTGAGTTTAAAAATGTTGAGGGGCCACAAGCAGATGCCTGAACCTCGATATACCCTCACCAAGAAGCTGGTCCTGCCCATGGACTGAAGCTTCTGCTTGACTTTTGTGTGACAGGATTCATGCTGGAGAAGTGAAAAGTCAAGCTTACTCAGACTCGATTAATCTTTCTCGGAGGATCAAGGCACTTTGGTACTAGATTCAAATTGATCTTGCTGTCTCTGTGAGTCTGATCTTAATTATTAAATAAGACTTTGAGTTAAAGTTTACTGCACTGAGTTCTGGTTGTGTGATCTTCTTTAGATAATGCAATTTAAAAGTAATATAACATCTATATTTGATACTGGGAACAAATATTTTTAAACTAATGTTAAGCATGATGATTTTATACCAGCAGTCTAAATAATTTAGTTTTGAATGCTGTTTGTAAATGCATATCGTTGCCATTAATGTCTTAATGGGAAATCTGAATGAACTAAAAACCCAGAGTTTGAAGTCTTTAAATAAAAAGCAATTGTAAGAAATCACTGATGTCTAGAAAAGAGTGAAATTAAATATTAAACATTGTTAAAAAAAAGTCTAATTTTGTATATTATTTTAGCATATAATGGCATAGTGTTTTGCATCACAAAACACAAAATGTCCTTTTCCGCCCTCTCTCTTACCCTGTTATGTGGATTTTTCCTATTATTGTTATTTTATTAAATTTTAACTGCAAAATGTTCTTCTGTTAAATGGAAATGCATGACTACAAGAAACAAAAAAATTCTTCTTACAATAATGTTCAGTCAGTGCCACCTCTATTCTCAGACTCATCTCACCATGCACCATGTTTAAAGAAAGGTCCTCAAACTCTGCCAAAATTCTTATATTTATCTATTAAAATGTTATCTTTTCCATTGACATATTATCATTTCTTTCAGCCAGCGTTCTATATTTGGTGCCCAAATGCTTTTCCAATTTAAAAAATATGCCATTTAGTTTGCAGGATACACACCTATAAATGTATATTTAATTTATATAAAAAAACTTGATCTACTTATATAGAATATAAATGAAATAAAATGTAAAGCCAGTGGAAAATAACAACAAGGATCTTCTCTATCATTTCTTTCATATCTGTCTAAAACTTGTTGACTTCACACTCCCATACAGTATGCAATACTATAGCGTAGCTGTAAACTCACCGAATCTTAAGCAAGTATTATTTCTATTCTTAGATAGGTGATGGTGGGATATCAAGATGTTATTTTGTGGTTTGAATATGACATTTCTTATTGTAGTGTCTTTTAAGAATTTTGTATGTATGGACTCAAATGACATAAGATTATGTATCAAGACTTTAATTAGCCTACCTTTGGGACTTTTGACCTTATTCAGAATGTGTTCATTCCAAAACGTGTGTACCAAGAAATAAACATGTTAGTGAATATCAACAGGTGTTATTGTGCCTTGGAAACCTGTCTGAAACTATTTTCCAGGAGGCTGGGATAATGCTGTTATTCACCGCCAGCCTTTGGTTTCTCTCCGAGCTGTTGTCATGCTATTCCTGAACTTTGAGGTCACCTTGTGCATGAACAATACAAGAGGCACTGAAGCTTTTATATTTAATAGAAACACAGGTCAGTCTGGGACCTTCAGTCATGATGAAAACCATCTAGGTTGCTGGTATACGGGCTGAACATCTTCACTATTAATCCACCCCCACATTACCTCAAAATCAGACTCGAGAAAGAAAAGAAGGAGAAAAGCATGTACTACATGAACAATAATATAATTAGTGGTCTTGGTAAGGTGTTCAACTGTGTTATGCATGAAAACCGACATTGTTCCACCATGTTATAAAGCAGCTTTCCCCTGTGTTTATTAAGTGCATAAATCCAGAATGACACGTTACCCCCTGTTCTTTCTTGGGGGCTGAATAATATTGGTGGCAGCACACAGAGGGAGGAAGTTAGGTTCCCCCGACCTGACATTTCTTTGGGAAAGCTTTTGTTTGGCAAGTGAGGGCACCGTATGTTCCTGTGGACATCAAAGCTTTTTAGAAGTAGGCCTAATTGCAATTTTTGTTGTTGTTTTTGGTCAAAAACGTGTGGCGGTGTTGGTGACAAGACGTTAGGAAGCTGTTGGGACATGAATCTCCATACAGAATCTCCTTCTGTATCTATTTCCTGCCATTTAAAATTAAACATAGGCCTACTTAGGGTGGTAAACACGACCCATTCTTCTAATATTAATAGGCTAACTGATATCTGATTTTGAACGTTTAATTCTTCATTTGGTCCACAAACTCCGACAATCATGGATAGCCCTGGTTACACTCTTGCACACAGTTTGTTTTTTTAAAGCAGCTTTCTAAAATTGTTATTTTTCTGATCTGTCATAGTTAAAGCTCTGACAGAATATTGGAAATGTACATGTCCTGAAGAAAAGTTATTTCAGATAATTATGCATTTACAAAAGCATATAAATATTGTTTTTATTTAACGAATTGCACTATGCCATTTGTAAAAGGAGACACTTCCTGGTCCTTGAGTTCACATTGACGCTTTAGGGAAATAATTATTTTAATGAAAGAAAGATAGGCTACGTTATGTTTGTATTTTTAAAAAAGTGTTTTCCAATCAAGTAATTGTTTACCAGTAGGGCTGCCAACTTCAGAAAATAAGGGACACACACACAGTCCTATTATATATATATATATATATATATATATATACACACACACACACATATATAATACATTACTGGAGTCTCTTATGCTCATCAAAGCTGTATTTATTTGATCAAAAATACAGACAAACAGTAATATTGTGAAATAGTATTGCGATTTCTAATACTGGTTTCCAATCTTATTATACTTTAAAATATAATTTATTTCTGTGACGCAGCACTGAATTTTCAGCATCATTACTCCAGTCTTCAGCGTCACATGATCCTTTAGAAATCATTCTAATATGCTGATTTATTATCAGTGTTGATAATATTATCAACTGTTGTGCTGCTTACTATTTTTTGGAACCTGTGTTCCATAAATAAAACAAAAAGTTAAAAAGACCAGAATTTATTCAAAATAGAAATCTTTTCTAACAATATCACTTTTTATCCACTTAACACCTTAATCCTTGCTGAATAAAAGTATTCTAAAAATGTCTTTAAAAAAAGAAATGTACTGACCCCAAACTTTTGAAAAGTAGTGTATATTTAACACAACATTTTTATTTGGAATAAATACTGTTCTTTTTAACTTTTTATTTATCAAAGAATCCTTAAAAATATCACAGGTCCCAAAAAAATATTAAGCAGCACAACTGTTTCCAACACTGATTATAAATCAGCACGTTATCATGATTTCTGAAGGATCATGTGACACTGAAGACTGGAGTAATGATGCTGAATATTCAGCGTTGCTTCACAGAAATCAATTATATTTTAAAGTATATTAAAATATAAAACTGTTATGTTAAATTGCAATACTAGGCTATTTAACAAAATTGCAGTTTTTTTCTGTATTTTTGATCAAATAAATGCAGCCTTGATGAGCACAAGAAACTTCTTTTAAAAAACTTTAAAAATCTTACTGATCCAAAACTTTTGAACGGCAGTGTGTATACATTAGATACATATATCTACCTCATGAACAGTTAAATATTCTCCCATTGTGCAATAAAAATGTCCAATAACCTTATACTATTTATCACCCTACATCCTAGTATATCCCTACAACTTTTTTTATTCTATTCATATTCTACAGTATTTTATTTATAGCACACCTGTACATATTTATCCTTTTTGTGTGTGTGTGTGTGTGTGCATTATCTATTTTTTATAAATTTTTATAAATTTTTATTTATACATATGTGTATTTTATTCACTTATATCTGTGTGTTGTCTCTGTCTGGAAACTTGGGACACTATAACAAATTCCTTGTATGTGCCAAAATACTTGATGATAAAGCTGATATGCGTGTGTGTAATAGCTATACAGTAGGCCTGTATATATGAAAATGTATATGAAAATGCATTTTTCAATTAAAGAACTTATAGAATTAATATGGACTGCTTTGGGTGCTTGACACTTCATTGGTCATTTTGTGTTTTATAAGAATGATATTCAAGGTTAAGAATACGCTGTTAAATATTAAGATTCATATTATTTAAATATAAATAGTTTTATCTAGGTTTAACAACATTACCTACATTGTAGAAAGACGACTTTCCTTATTGATCACGTCTTCCCTCAGGTAAAACGCACCAGCCGGCAGAGGATTCCGCTTGGTCTTAAAGCCTCCCCCGAACGTCTACGTTCACAAATCAAACACTTGTCAAAAAAGAATGATTCATTCTCAGTTTAGAGTTTGATATTAGTATGGTCTACGTGTTCATACGGCATATGCTTTAAATACGGGACGATTCCGTATTATACGGAACGGTTGGCAACCCTATTTACCAGTATGTTCTTAGTTGTTTCAGAGCATTTATTATATTCTTTACGACTGCCATTTCGACGGCCTTTAGAAGGGCGGAGATTGGGAATCTCAGACTCAGAGCGCGAGGAATCTCAGATTATCCTCCCTCCCTCTCTCTCTCTCTCTCCTCCTCTCTCTCTCCTTCTCTCCGCAATCCACTCGGTCTGTCAACTGGTTTAAATATCCGTGTCCACAGACCCGGTGACAACCAAATATTTCCTTCTAGACTGGTCTGCATTGCTTTTTTTAAACCATTGTAGGTTTTTGGCTGAGGTGAGTGTTTACTGTTTGCTCATTAAAGTTTTCGCGCCTGTGCACAAAAGCGCGCGAATAGCAAAACTTCCTGTTTTCTCCACGCACGCGGCACTGTGAACTAAATAATGCACCAAACATTTAAAATTCTACAAGTTCTAAATTTGATGCATGATTTCGTTGATATACAAACATGTAATGTTTCAGTTGTTATTACAGATGGGTAAAATTGGTACTGGCAGCAACAAAAATCGGACAAGTCGGAGTAACAAGAATGAGCAGAAGGTCAAAGCATCAAATGGATCAAAGAGAAAGAAGGCTGTTAGGAGGAATTCACATGCAAGTATTTCATTTTATTCAGACAGTGAAAGTGAAAGTGATGTGAGGTGCCATAGCCTACTTGGAATTTGTACTCTGCGAGTATTAACAGGCATCTGGAGCAGTGAGCAGCTATTTAATGCCAATGCCCAGGGAACAATTGGAGGTTAGGTGCCTTGCTCAAGGGCACCACAGTTAGGGGTGATGTGGGTGGAAGAGAGCACTGTTCATTCTCATTTCTTGAGACTCGAACCCATGACCCTTCAGGCCTGACTCTCTAACCCAGGGGTGCCCAACCCTGCTCCTGGCGATCGACTGTCCTGCAAAGTTCAGCTCCAACCCTAATCAAACACACCTGAAGCAACTAATTAGGGTCTTCAGGATCGCTTTAAAATTAAAGGCAGGTGTCTTTGATTAGAGTTGGAGCTAAACTTTGCAGGACAGTCGATCGCCAGGAGCAGGGTTGGGCACCCCTGCTCTAACCGTTAGGCCACAACTACCTCCGACAGACTAAAATGTACTGTTATTTAGATTAGATAAATGCTTTTTGGAAATTATATTTCTGAGCCATTTTTATATTATTAAAAGTATTTTTATGTCATGTAGGAAGACAAAGAAAACCTTCCTGGATGTGTTCAAAAGACAAATGTACATAAAAGAAAGCGGGAGCCCCTTCAACCAACTAGCAGTATTTCAGATCATTACCCTAAAAAGAAGCGTGTGGGTAAGTCATTTACAAGCTGTTAGGTTAATAAACCAAAATATTAGTCAAGCCTACCCTTCTCCTAGCATGTCCGTATTTTCACAGTTGCAACACAGAAGGAATTTTATTCCATGTCAAATAAGCCTCTTGGATATTGTTTGATCATCAACAACTATAACTTTGAGAGAACGTCACTTGGAAACCGGAGAGGGACAGATAAAGATAAAGGTATTTTGTGAATTTGAGGGATTTGGATATTCTAAAAAAAATTTAGATGTGTACTTTAATATAATCTGCTATTGGATTTGTCAAATATGGCTTTGTGCATTTTCCTTTGTCTTCTAGATGATCTCACCAGAGTGTTTGAGAACATGTTTTTCAAAGTTGAGGTGCAGGATGATTTGCAAGCGTCAGATATGCAGAATGTGATAAAGGAGCTTGCAGAGAGGGATCACACTCAGATGGATGCTTTTGTCTGCTGCATCCTGTCCCATGGAGAAAAAGGCTCTGTTCTGGGAATAGATGGAAAACCAGTTCCGATCCGTGAAGTCACACAGCCTTTTGCTGAATGCCACACTCTAGTTAACAAGCCGAAGCTTTTCTTCATTCAAGCCTGTCAGGGTAATGAGGCCCAGCAAGGTGTGTGGATGGCAGATGGACAGGAGAACACCAGAGAAGGAACATTTGAGAAGGTTTCTCATACTGCAGCAACGCACGGTGTCCCTAAAGATGCTGATTTTCTCATTGGAATAGCAACGGTTGAGCACTACAAATCTTTCCGCCACACAAAACATGGGTCCATCTATATCCAGGAACTCTGCAAACAGCTGGAAAGTGGCTGTCACTGGTGAGTTGTGGTCTTGATTTAGAGAAGGTTTTGAGTTTGAAGCTTATGTTAGAATTAAAGACCCTATTTGCATTCGATGTTCAGAAGAGTTCGCCCCAAAATTAAATTTTGCTGAATATTTACTCACCCTCAGACCATCCAAGATTTAGGTAAGCATGCTTAGAAATATAGCATTACATCACTTGTTCACCAATGGATCCTCTGCTGTGAATGGGTGTCGTCTGAATGAGAGTCCAGTAAAAAAAAAAACATCCCCTGTTGTCCTTTCACATCAAAATATTTTGTTGAGTGTTTCTGCATGTAAATGGTGCTTGATCTGTGCATATGTCTCTCCTGATTCAGACGAGAGAACTTTTTCACAATGGATTTTAGTCAGATGATTACTTGTAGATTGTGATGTTTTTATCAGCTGTTTGTTCATGTTTTTATGAACTCATTCTGACAGCACGCAGAGGATCCAATGGTGAGCAAGTGATGTAACGCTACATTTCTGCAAATCTTTTCTGTTCCGATGAAAAAAAAACTTAATCTACATCTTGGTTGGCATGAGGGTGTGTACATTTTGAACAAATTTTCATTTTTGGATGAACTATTCTTTTAACATCCATTTTGGGTGAGTTTTCCCAAAAGTAATGCAGTGCATCTTGAAAACACATTGTGGTCTGATAATCACCATCTAAGGTTGGGAATGCATATGGCTACATTCCATTTGTAAACACTAATGCATTTTGATGTGTCACAGACAACACCTACTCATATGACTGACTTGTATCTTTTTGTTCCGGCAGGAAAGAGGACATACACTCCATTTTGACAAAGGTGAATAGAATAGTGAGCTCCAAAATCCTTCAGGGTTGCAAGCAGATGCCTGAGGTTCACTACACTCTAACCAAAACACTGGTACTGCCCATGAAGCATGCGTCCTGATTAGCTGTGGCATGACAATCTGGCATCCATCCATCTCTTCCTCCCTTGTGGGAAAAGTGCCTTTTGTAATGCATTTAGAATTTTAATCCTGAAAAGTATGTACTGCAGACAGCTAGCAGTTGAAATTCCAAAATATTGGAGAAAGAAGTTTCTCCCTCCTCCTCCTCAAACTGATGATGCAATGATTTATCCACGTTTTAATATGCCTCGTTATAGAGCTTTTTAGATGGATGCTGAGGCTTTTTAGGTCAGGTAGAATCTGTGATCACTGACCCAGTTTGTTTGCTGCAAGGCTGCAATAGAGTGGGGGAACTATGGCGTCACTTTGTAGGTGGATCGGCTGTTAGCGTCACACTGGTTCTCTTGACAAAAAGCCAATAGGATTTTTCCATAGGCTTTTGGATTATCGCAAAAAATAAGCTTTTTTTTGCTGAAATTTGAAGCCTAAATACAAGCGCCAGAACTAAAAAGCTAACATTAGGCTATTAATGAACTACAGCACCACTGTCGCTCGCCTTCAACGTCACCACCACCACGCTTCCGACAACTTTTAAATTTATTTTTAGAAACATTTTCCATGATAATTATTTACTCTGTGGATGAATTTTAATCCACATTACATTATATATATAAAAAAAAAAAAAAAACATGTTTATACATGCTCTTTTAGATAGTTTCCTTTGTGTAATAAATCATTTTTATTTTGATTTACAGTTATGAACGTTTAAAAATGCATATGTTTTATAATTGTGCCTTCAGATTATTATCATAATGCATATTTGAATGATTGTATGGCACGCATGCATACACCTGCTTAGCGTGCTTACCTTCTCTGAAGCGTAAACTTCTTTGAAACCTAGCTCTGTCAATTTCCAGCCTCGTGTCCTTTTTCACAGATGATAAAAAGAGCATAGAGAGGGACGAGAATCATTATACATCTGGACATGTAGAGCGTTGCAGCCAAGCGGCAACCTCCCGCTCTCTCTCTCGCGAAGCCAACAAGGAAGTGACTTAAACTGTAATTAATCGACTGGCCACTAGAGGCTGGCTGCGAAAGGGAGTCAATCCCATAAACTCCCCATGTTAAAATGCCCAATTTTACAGCAGAAAAAAAACATGTTTACAGCCTGGTTCAAAAAATGATTTTGGTTTATATAGCTAATTTTGCCCTTCATGACAACTGTGAGGGGGGTTGAATATTTTTATAAGTCATCCGTTTAAATTATATTAAGCCTTAAAGTTCTGCATAATTAAGGGCGTGGCCACTTGAGTGACAGGTGGATTGTCGCTGCTGTCACCACCGTCGCCTCTGCCCATTTTCGATTATCCAGGAGTGACGCGCGGTGATGCGCTGCCAAGATGGCGACGGCCGGCTCCGCCCACTTTGAGCTTCAAAAACCTCTTCAGGAACCTACGGGTGACGTCAAGGACACTACATCCATGTTTTTATACAGTCTATGGTAGCAGCCTACATGCTGGTGTACTTAGTGGAGTTGTCAGGACGAGCAGCATGAGGGACAAATGGCGCTTTTCCACTGCATGGTACGGCACGGTATGGCTCGGTACGGTTCACTTTTGGGGGGTTTTCCACTGGGTACAGTACCTGGTATCTGGTACTTTTTTAGTTCCACCTCAGTTGGGGATCCAAGTGAACCGTACCGTTACCAAAACGTGACGTGTAAACCCTGCTGATCACGGATTGGCCGGAGAGAATCATCACTACCTGCGTCACTGAACTAAAGCATAGAAAACATATGGTAAAAAAAAAGCATAACTGCACCTTTAAGGACTGTGTTTTTGTATGTATTCTTTTATTATTGTTATTAATAAAATAATTATTACGATCGAAATTTTATAGTGCTCTGTTCTGTTGAGCTCTATTTCCTTATGTTGTGTCCCTAGAAGACGAATCATAATGGTTGGTTTGATGTTTTATTCATACCGATGCTAAATCATGCTAAATGACAAATCATCAGAGGCATAGGACAGCTCTGATACAAGAGGTTCAATTATTTGACGAGATAGTGATCGGAAACTTTTTACATGCATAAAATAATTTTTGTTAAGGTTTGTGTAATATGCGCATATCTGCAAAAGTTCTGTATTGTAAAAGCCAGTTTGTAATTAAAAAGTGAAAACAAATTGGTCTCAACTGGTTCTCTTTGATTAAACCGCTCTAGGCTTGAGTTGGAACAAATGTACATGTATATTTAAGAACACTTTCATGAAAGATCTGAGGTGTGTAGTATAATGAAGGAAGGACGTTTATTCATGTCAACCATCTGTTTTCTGAATAACAACGGTAGTCAACCTTGTCAACATTTTTGGTGACCTTTTACCCTGAGGGGTTTCACCCTTGACCTTGGACCACCCAGGCATGTCATGTTAACCTTTGACCTATTAATAATCTCCAGATGTCAAGATGCCATATGATTTTAGCATATTTGGATTTCTAGTGTTGACCCGTGACCTTATAATTATCTCCGGCTAGCAATATGACATATGGTTTTAGTATATCTGGAATTCCGTCATTGACCCATGACCTCCGGAGGTAATATGAGGACTGATTGATTTTGAACCTTGACAGGTAAAATTGAACTTTTCAGGTTTATTTTTGACCTTTTACATTCAGAGACATCTGTTGACCACATGTGGGTATCCTGCCTCATTCCATCTCATGGTCACTCTACAGTCATGTGAGGGAAGAAGGTATAGGTCGAATCTAATATAGAAAAGACTGGAATATACGAAAGACTGGAACAAAGCAAAACATTTACTATAGTTTAACTAAATGAATAAATATAAATCATCTTACATTTTTCCAAGAACGGTGTAGCGGATCAACTCAGGGGGAAATATGAATAATTAACCATAACTAGTTATAATTAACTATTCATATTTTAGATCCACTGTAGATATTTAGCTGACCCCTCAGGGTCAACTGTCTTGTCAATTCTAAGAACGTTAATTTCCTGGTTAAAGGAAATAACTTTCTTACTGTACAATTCTATAAGTTTGTAACGTAAATCTGCATGATTATTGACTCCGGTTATGAGTAAACAATGAACACGTCAAGTGTGATACAAGTAAGGTTTTATTAACTACATAAACACTTAAACTAGTCTAACATACTACATAAACACATTAAGCCGGTCTAACATACACATACACACACACACACACATACAGTTGGTATAGGAAAGGGTTAAAGTTTAACTCAGCATAGAAAGAGGCATAAAGAATGGATTTTATGGAACACTTTGCATGTATATTCAACAGATCAAAGCCTTCAGGGATACGTCAGATTCTGAGTTCAAACACACCTTTGTAAAAAGGTGTAACTGATACTTAATGTATCAATTAATAAGACTAAGTTTGATACTTAGCGAGTCTCGGCGGTCTGAAAGAGATTCCTGATGCAAATCTTAAAGCTTCCCGTAGATCTTTGCTGAATTCGGGTCGATGAAAAGAACCAGTTTGAGTCAGTGTCACTTGATGAATGGAAAGGACTAGGCCGAAGAAAGGCCTGGCACAGATGTTTTGGTATCCTGAAGCGTTTTTCTCACATCTTCATCTTTGCTTCTGACCGAACCACCGACTGAGGCGGGTCTCTTGAAGTGTGGCCTTTAAAGCCTGCAGAGATTCACGCCTCTCAAGATGGGCTTGCCCAATGGGGAAGTCCGGAATCTCAAGTGGGAGTTCTGCGTTTTTATGGCCCTTTGTCTCTAAGCATGGTATTTTGCATATGTAATTCACTTGGGTGTTGATGCAGACATTAGTAATGATTCTTAGAACATCAATATGTTGCAGAGGTATCAGCATGTAATATGCACTCTCAGTTAGATCATCCGAAGACAAATTCATAGATACTAGACATGGTAGAGTTACTTCTATGAATGAGTGGTTTATCGTAAGCATGAATAAAAATAGTGTATAATACAACAGATTAATACAAAACAGCAATAATATACACAATGGCCTGAAGGATATGTGGATTCAATCAAAGAAAGGTTTTCCTATGAATTAATTAGTAGAACAGTCCATTTCTCCTGTGCATTTGTACCCCTTAGCTCTGGAGAAAGCAGCTGAGAGCCGGCTCGCATTCCACAAGGTTGTAAATGTATCGGGTTACCATGAAACCAGGGTCTTGTTCGGCGTCCTGGGGTGTTACAAAGTATTTGTGAAATCTAGCTAACAAAATATATATTGTGTGTTGGAGTGGTCCAGACGCTACAACGGGAAAAAAGATTTCCTTGTGCAACGATGTCCATCTTGCGAATGAAATCTTCACAAAAAAGTGCTTAGTTTAAGTTGAAATATAAAACCGCAATGTGACCACACAGCAAAAAACAGTGTGTCACGCAACATGACAGGGTTGGGGCTGCTTAGAAGCATCAGATATGGGTTATAGTTTCACATAGGAAGCAACCCCTAATGTTTTGCTCATTTTAAAAAGGACAGTAGGTTTTTGTGTGTGCAACACATGTGCATCTTCAAACACAATTGTGTCGTCGACATCAGAGACGACGTTTCCTCATAGAGGATGCTAGCACAGAGGCCATTGTTCAAAATACTGCTTCTTCAATGAATAATATCAGTGGAAATATAAAATCTCAAAGTGTCTGTCATGTAAGAAAAAGTTATTGGTCGATAATAAACACCAATGTCAAAATAAGTAAAGGAATAAAGATTTTAATTTTAACAGGTCAAGCCATAAGGGATATTGTGGGCCCCGACATGCCCAGGCATGTCAAATTGCCCTGTTTTATGGGAGGCTTTACATATGGCGCTTTTCCACTGCATGGTACGGAACGGTGCGGTTCGGTATGGTTCACTTTCGGGGGGTTTTCCACTGGGTACAGTACCTGGTACCTGGTACTTTTTTCAGTACCACCTCGATTGAGGTTCCAAGCGAACCGTACCATTACCAAAACATGACGTGTAAACTCTGCTGATCACTGATTGGCCGGAGAGAATCGTCACTACCTGCGTCACTGAACTTGCGACACAGAGACACAAAAGAACCGCTAGATTTAAGGGTGCGTTCCAAACGGGATATATCGCCCTCCAAAGGGCACTTCGGAGTGAAAACAATCATGGCTGCCATATTGAAGGGTCATTCCAAACCGAAGTGCTCAAAACTGGCCACTTCAAAGGGCCCTTCGGAATGAAAGATTTCGAAGGGTACAACTGATGGACACTTCGGGCTCCCATGATCCTTTGCGCAGATTCTTTGCATGATGATGGCGCCTCCGTGTTGATGACGCAGAAGCGCTCTTCAAGAAACAGTTGTTTGGTCCCCTACACTAGGGTGACCATACGTGCCATTTTCCCAGGACGCGTCCTGCCCAGGATTTCTATATTGCCTAAAATATCTAGGTTTTGGCTTTGTTTGCGTGTGCAGACTGATCGGTGTATAACATCAAAATACCTCGAGAGCATTTTGAAAGCATAAGGAACCATCTGTATGGTATTTTGATGTCATACACCGATCGGTCTGCACACGCAAACAAAGCCAAAACCTAGATATTTTAGGCAAT